AAACTGCTTCTCAGTTTTACTTACAAAATATCCTATTTTAAAATTAGTTCCAAAGAAGAGAGCTTTTCCCTTGAGAAATGTGGGCATCAACATTTGTGATAGTGAGAACTAGAAAGCCCTGTGTTTTTCATTTTTAACTGTGATCCCTGGATTCAATTTTTATGTTTAATCACAATATTTAAACTATTTATTCCTCATGGTTGAATGTGTGCTTCCTCTATAATTCCATATGGTTGATGATCTCTTTCCACTGAAGCATCTTTATTTACAGCATGTCTGAATTTTTCTATAAGAATTCTTAATTCTTCTGGGATTACAACAGTAATGTATCTAGATATTGTGACTCTATTATTAGAGAAATCAAGGCTCATTGAACTCAAACAGAAATTAGTAACTTTATGATTCAACCTTCTAACTTCAACTTCTAACCTCAAGTCATAATTTTCCCCAATATGCTATCCTGCATCCACAAAAATGTATTTATCTTTCTTTAGTAATTACGTACATTTATATCAGAAAGACTCAAAAATAAAAAACTCATTCCTAACATTTGTTTTTTGCTAAAAAATAGGCATCTAAAATGCAAAGTGTCTGCCTTTGTGTAACTGAGATTTGTGGAGGTTCATTTCAATATGCTTTGAAATATCCAGCCATTAAAAATATTTCTTCTTAGAGCTGGTGCTCTAGTGTAGTAGGTTAAGCTGTCGCCTGCAGCAATGGCACCAGTATGGGTGCGAGTTCAAGTTCTGGCCACTCCACTTCTGATCCAGCTCCCTGTTAATGTGCCTGGGAAAGCAACAGAAGATGGCCCAGTTCCTTGGGCCCTGCACCAATGAGGGATACCCAAAAGAAGCTCCCGGCCCTTGGTTCCATCTGGCCCAGCCCCGGCCATTGTAGCCATTTGGGAAGTGAACCATCAGATGGAAGATTCTCTGTGTCTCTCCCTCTCTCTGTAACTCTGCCTGTCAAATAAAATAACTAAATTTTTACTATATATATATATGTATATTTCTTCTTACAAAAACTATGACAAAATAATCCACAGATGATGATGATTTATTTGAGAATATCTGTGAAATAGCATCTTTCTTAAATTTAAAACACTGTGTTTTACTATTAGTATATTTTTGATAAACTAAAATAATTGTGTATAACATATTTACCCAAATAAGAATCACATTCAACAAAACTACTGAAGAAAAGAGGAAAAATCAGACTGTGATATAATTGATAGGGATTTGGCAGATTTGAGACAAAATACAGAAATATTCATATTAGATATTTAGAATTGTTTAAATGGCGTAATACCTAAGCTGATGTTTCAAAATTATATGAATGCCTGCAGCTGCAGAATCCTGATCATCCATTTAAATAGTATGGAATTTTGAAAAAATTTAAAATGGAATATTTCATATGTGAGTAAATGAGCTCTATACATAAAAATAATTTAAAATACATTCTGGAGCTAAAAATTTCTACAATGTACAATTGAGGATCATCTGAAAATTTTCCATTTTAGAAAATAAGAAAAAATTATTATGTATTAATAGAAATGTAAAGCAAATGAATTTTATGCATATATGAAAGATCCTAACATTTCATATGGAGACTTCAATAAATAAGATTTCCAAACATGTTATTTTTTTTTTAAATTACTATTTATGGGAGTAGTAACTAATTTTCTTTGTTGAGGGGGGTTAGAAATTGAAGAAGAACCTTTTTAAATGAGAAGAGATAAAAAAGTTTTATGAAGTAAGACATTTGTAGTGAAACAAACTCAAGGGAAAAATGCTTTTATTTATTTTAGACAGGATTGGGCGTATTCAACATGTGGTCTCAAAAGTGGAAAGCATTTTATTTATCAAAGCCATTTTATATAAGTCACAACTTTTCTTAGTTCCTATGAGTTGAAACAGAACTATATTTGTTGGTACCCCATCCTCAGCCTATACTTAACCTTATTTAAAAGTATAATATCAAAACCATTAAGAAAATTAATCTATAAGACAACTTAAGTGTGACACTATTTAGGAAAGCATATTGGTATGTGCCTAGTCTACCAATTATGGAACAAATTATCAAAAATAACCTATGGCACCCAACGAAATTTTAATAATTTGCATTTAATTTTCATAGTACTTAATAAAGGGCACATATTAAGTACAAATGTTATGAGGAAAATAATCAGTCTTTGGAAACCTAGAGCTCCATTAAAACATTAAATTAATTCAAAATTATAGATAAGTCGATAATTATTACTGAGTACTCAGTATGCATTTGAGTTATTAAGAAATAGATGCATAGAGAGATGGTTTGACTTTTGCATAATATATTCCAAAAAATTTCACATTTTGAATTCATTTTAATTTAGATACCAATGAAATGAAATAGTAGCATGCAACAACGTAAAAACATGATTATTATTTTGTGCTGAGGCATGGATTTCTGCATATCAGAATTATGATTTTTGAAGCCATTTAAGTTAACTTACTAAAGGTTCATTAAAATCCAAATTTCTTCATTTAATTAAAATTTCAAGAATTACTTCAACTGAATTTATGCTGTCTAGGCAAAATGTTATTTGGAAAAAAATGCAATTTAAAGAACTAAGCCTGAATCAGCAAAGTTTTAAAAGCATAAAATGCAATGACATATGTTATAAAATAAACTTTTTCCTGCTCTTATTACAAAATCATAGTTCAAATTTCTAAGGCCACTTTATTTTCACTGTGTTGTGTATATACAGATCACACCAAAAATTGTCATCTATTGAGCTCCTTTTCCTGCTTAAAATAGAAATAAATTGTGCCATATAAAAATTCCTTTCTGTTTTATTATAGTGAATACATTGCAAGGCTATTTTTCAATGCTGAATCCAGATAAGCATTACTAGAAAATCAAACTGAATCTTGAAATAACTATAAAGGTCAATTTAAGTCCAACAATAGAATATTGAAAATACTAATTAAATAAAGAAATCTACTGGTCATTTTGTGCTGCTTTTTATATTGCAAAATAACTATCTGAAAATATTAGTTACATGAGATCATACTGCATAAAGCAAAGGAAATACCATTTAATTTTAGAGGTAGATCTATTTTCTCCAGTCTTTCTACTTAAATATAAAATAAATGTTACTTTATTTTCTACTCAGAATAAGTATAGAAGGCACTCAACTGAGAGATTCCATGGTTTCCCATATGATACAAAAAGAATTGTCTTTTGAATTTCTGCCATGCCATCTGCTGGCATTGCTGAGTGGAATCAAGAGCCATAAAATGTGGTTGAAAAGCTCCACAAGGAAAGGGGTCAACCTTGAGATCAAGAAGCCTCACAATAATTATATAATAAAAATGGTGCTATTATTTCTAAAGTATGAAGAAATTCCAAAAATTAACATGGGAAGGAAAATGGATGAAATATTTTTTAAATATTGTAAATAAAATATAAATAATTTAAAAGGAAATACTGGCTTAAATATATGTTATTCAAATTCCAAGCCTGGAGAGTTACTTTCATTTTTTTTAAATTTTAAATGTAGTGTTTCATGATAGGTACTATTTTAAATTGCATAGCTTTGATATCTTATTTGCCTTCATTTTTATATTCCAATTAATTATATAAAAACTACTCCTGGCACTCTAACATGGATTTTGTCCACTATCTTTATTTTTATCTGCCACCCTCAGAACTTTGATTTCAATGATAGCCAATGTGATATTTTGAAAGTGAAATTTGAAATCACATTAATCCATTACTGTTTCCAAGAGAAATCTTTCCAACAGAATATCTGCAGGGAGGATATTGATCCTAAAATATAGGTTGATTGCCGAAAAATATAAGGTCTAAAGTCACTTTAAGTACTAAGTATAGGCTATCTAAAGTCACCATATTCAATTTGCAAAGCACTTAAGACAGACAACTAATTAGAAGGTAAACATTAAAAAACAACAACAGAGAAATGGAAAAATGTTACTATGGCAATGCTTTCTATTCCCTCAAGATTACCAATATACTACAAAGAATGAAATGAATAATTTACATGTACAGTCTGATAATAAAGGATACTAAACCTGCATAATATTACTAAATATTATAGAAGCTACATTTTCACTTGAATTCCATATTCATAATAATCCAATTTCAAAGACTTTTCAAATTAATGCATCAAATATTATATTCTACTTAGTCAAAATTATGCCTGTTAATAAAATTGGTAGATAATAATTCTCAGAATGTAAATTAAATTAGCAGTAACGGCCAGCGCCGCGGCTCACTAGGCTAATCCTCCACCTTGCGGCACCGGCACACCGGGTTCTAGTCCTGGTCGGGGCGCCGGATTCTGTCCCGGTTGCCCCTCTTCCAGGCCAGCTCTCTGCTGTGGCCAGGGAGTGCAGTGGAGGATGGGCCAAGTACTTGGGCCCTGCAACCCATGGGAGACCAGGATAAGTACCTGGCTCCTGCCATCAGATCAGTGCGGTGCGCCGGCCACAGCACGCCGGCCGAGGCAGCCATTGGAGGGTGAACCAACGGCAAAGGAAGATCTTTCTCTGTCTCTCTCTCTCACTATCCACTCTGCCTGTTCAAAAAAAAAAAAAAAAAATTAGCAGTAACAAACAAACTGTATATGAAAATGGACTTCAACTGATGAAGAACCTGTTTGCAGTGGCACGCTTTCTGTAGTGCTTTGTGGTTTAAGTTTAGATAGCATGTTCACCTGCTGAAGCACTATATTAAAGCGAAATATTATATCTGTTACATATTACCTTTTAGAAGTGCTAATCTTTATTCTGCATGTTATGTTACAAAAATCAACTAACTTCAACACTGGTAATTTAGATATGATCACATTATTGCTTCAGTAAGAGAATGACCATGTTTGCCTACTCAAATTATGATTTATGAATCCTAAAGGTATTTTTCTTCTATCACAAAATGCAATTGTGAATGCCTAAATCACTTTGCATATCAAAAGAGGCAGAGGTATTCATTAAATATACCTTGATATGGAGCGCTAAATCCACGATATCGGTGATTGCTGTCTGTAACAAAATGCAGTCTGAGCCAGTTTTTGTTGCTGATAATTGGTGGTGGTATATTCATTCCAGATAACCTGAATTATAAAAGACAAAAACAAAATAATTTAAAAAGCTTTTCAGCAGTAAGCATTTTCACTGAACTGTGACCAAACAAGTATACATTATTCATGACTTTGCATTCTCAACTTTTAAGTACAAATGAAATAGTTACTTTAAGTATTGAAAATTCAATCATAGAATAGTGTGATTCAAAATATATGATATTTCAATTGGGTTGCATGTATTAATAAAATCATCTGAGAAATAACAATTGGATCTGATTTTTATCTACTCAATTTTATTGATTAATGCTATTTATGACATGATTTTAATAAATACAACGCATACTGAGCTGATGATGCCGGTCATTTTGTTCCCCATGTATTTACTGATATAAATGTTACGAAATAGAAAAGTTTCAAAGAAATTGATATCCTTTTTTCCAACTAGAGATTATAGTTATTTTCTTCTCCCTGCTACCCATTCAATATATTTTCAATATTTCACACATGATGGCAAATTTTATAATTTCTCTTCATGTCTTATTCACTAATTTATAATTTCATAATAAAATAATAATAATAATAATAATAATTTCACAATAAAAAATATACCTATATAAAAGCGTTAGCAGCCTGATGCAAAAGACAGGCAAAAACATGTATGTACTTAGTCTCAACATATTTAGTCACAAAGATACCACTCCATAATCTACTGCAAGCAAATCACTTAAAGCAAAATATTGGAACAAACACCTACAAATTGGTCCTGATTAATAAATGAAGTAACTCCTCTTGAAAATTTCAAATAAAATATTCTTTTTTTGCTTTCAATCAATAAAAAAAATACTTCCATCACATACTTCCTCCATGTAGCTAACCATTTAAATGCTGGGTGTTTGTTATAAAGTCAAGATAAAAGTCTCCAAAGCAAGAATATCACATAATGAAGGAAATTTAGACTAAGTTGTCTTAGTAACCAGTGCATGTCATATTTACCATTGTTCATTGTTCCTACTTTTCTTCTTCAGAAGACAAAATAAACAGCTTATTCATTATTGTGTGCTTGTGTTTGTGTGAGGGTAGGGAATTGCTTTAACTTTATTCTCCATGCTTTTCAGTTATGGTACTGCACCATTAGGGGGAACAGAGAAAATCTGTCTCAATATATATAGTCTATGGTGATGTGTATGCACAGTGATGCATGGATTCTCCACCCAACACTCATCCCCATTACCTCAGAAAGTCCACCATTCCAGAAGTGATTGGGAGTTAATTTCCACTCTAAGTGGATGATCACTTCCTTCTGAAATGTAACTTCATCTTTATGATATCAGTGTGGCTGCTGATGTACAGAATACTGGATACCAACATGAACAAGTTGAGCTCCATACCATATGTTTACTTATATACTTGTTGCAAATGCACTTTAATTTTCCCTATTAATGTTGTATTTTTTGTTTTATAGTAGTGACTATTGCTTGGTCCAGCTACTTTTTTTCCTACCTGAATTTAGTAAATAAAGATATGTGATACATTTGCATAAGTTTAAGATTCATTAATTTTATTTCATTATGATATATATTAAATTATAATTATACATAATACATATTAAATTATTTTCAGAAAATATCCAGTTTATGTTTACTATTGTTTGTTATTCTTGTTTAAATAATTCAGTGAAAAAAAACTGGATTTTGTTCAATTACATTTTCAAAAGAATAGCCTAATTTATGCCAGATTCTGATTTACAATTTGTTTCTGTTCAATTCTCTGATTCAATGAACATAAATATCAGCTAGTGAATTCTGAATTATTTTGACAGACTATATATATTTCTAAATGTAGTGAGACTATAGTATATGAATAATTGTGATACAAACAGAATTTGGAAATAGGCCCTTTAGAAGACTCAAAAAATGAAAAAATAACTCCACAAAGAGTATCAGAAAACTGAAGGTAGAAGGAAGATGAAATAGACAATACAAAGGATAGACTTCCTATCTTTTCCAGGGATATCAAAGATAACTTCACCACTTTGTAATAGTAAAGGCAAAGTAACAGTGAATTCAACTTTAGGAATCTAGGGCAGTGGCTCAAGAAAGTAGAGTTGCAGAAGCAAGAGGCAGAATATTCATGAGATGAAGCAAACAATGACCGTTTAACATGGCTTACACTGAAAGGATACTCCTGACAGACTTGATACCTCAGCATACAAAACAGAACATTAAATAAGCTAAGACACTAAAAAGAAAGCACTTGTACTGTAGCAAAGAAATACACAATAATTGGTTATAAGGGAGCCACATGGGCTTTGCAGATTGTCATCACCTAGTATTATTCATTACTTAAATACAACAATACAACATGGCTTGGTTTATGGTTTATGGAGCAATCTACTAAATGAATCTACCTATATCTGTCCCATATTTCACATATTACCAGGAGAATTATGTAAGTGACTAAGAAAACATACCATCTAGAAATATTAAATTAAACTTAATAATTCTTGATTAAATAACTTAGAGCTATCTCTATGTCAAATCATTGGGATCAACTTCACTATAGTATAGTATCAGTGAGAATCACCTCCTAATAATGAAGCAATTAAGGGACTTGCATTGTGGGAGACCTGGTCCATCTACAATAGATATGGCCACTTCAGGAGTGAACCAGCAGATGGGAGATCTCTTGCTATTTCTCCCCATAACTTTGCCTTTCAAATAAATAAGTAAACCTTTTTCAAAAATAATAATGATATTAATGTGTCTTTATTCCAGTTATTTACTGAACATTTTCTATATGACAACACCATTGCTAGGAGTCAGAAATACACTCGTAAACACGACAAAACCAATGTCTTACAAAACAAGAAAAAACGTTACATAAAAATTTCAGGGCCTTTTTGTGTATTTCTTTTCAATGTTAAAATAAATACTGTTTCTTTGCTTTTACTTACTTAATCATTCACAGGGAAGACAGACGTAAAAATTACACAGTTTTGAAGATGTCCAATTGTTACTCCCTTGAACTGCTTTGGCACTGTTGTCAAGAACCAACTAGGTATATGTGTGTTAGTGGTGTTAGTGTATTTCTTTTTTTTTTAACTTTTATTTAATGAATATAAATTTCCAAAGTACAGCTTATGGATTACAATGGCTTCCCCCCCATAACGTCCCTCCCACCCGCAACCCTCCCCTTTCATACTCCTTCTCCCCTTCCATTCACATCAAGATTCATTTTCAAGTCTCTTTATATACAGAAGATCAGTTTAGCATACATTAAGTAAAGATTTCAACAGTTTGCTCCCACACAGAAACATAAAGTGAAAAATACTGTTTGCGTACTAGTTATAGCATTAAATCTCAATGTACAGCACACTAAGGACACAGATCCTACATGAGGAGTAAGTGCACAGTGACTCCTGTTGTTGATGTAACAAATTGACACTCTTGTTTATGGCCTCAGTAATCACCCTAGGCTCTTGTCATGAGCTGCCAAGGCTATGGAAGCCCCCTGAGTTCACCGACTCTGATCATATTTAGACAAGGCCATGGTCAAAGTGGAAGTTCTTTCCTCCCTTCAGAGAAAGGTACCTCCTTCTTTGATGACCTGTTCTTTCCACTGGGATCTCACTCACAGAGATCTTTCATTTAAGTTTTATTTTTTTTTCCAGAGTTAGTGTATTTCTGTGTTTAATATTCCATCCAATAACATTGTTCAAAAATGGAAAAATTGATAAATTGAACGTCATTAAAATTAGACCAAGTGTCTGCTAATAATAATTGATAGAATTTAAAAGGAGATAACAATCCAACATGGGAAGCAGGATACAGCACAGACTCACAGAATGACAAATGCCCTACACAGCATTCTGGCCTCAGAATCAGCTGTTAAAGCATTCAGATCTGGCTAAAAAGCCCATGAGAGCATTTCAGGCATGGAAAGCCAAGACACTGTGGCAAAAAATCACCTACATGAAAGATCTCTGTGAGTGAGATCCCAGTGGAAAGAAGGGGCCATCAAAGAAGGAGATACCTTTCTCTGAAGGGAGGAGAGAACTTCCATTTTGATTATGGTCTTGTCTAAATAATGCCAGAGTTTGTGGACTCAAGAGGCTTCCTTAGCCTTGGCAGCTTATGACAAGAGCCAAGATCACTGATGCCATAAATAAGCGTGTCAATTGTTAAATCAACAACAGGAGTCACTGTGTACTTGTTCTCCATGTCCTTAATGTGTTATACTATGAGAATTAACGGTATAACTACTCTTCAAACAGTACTTTATACTTTGTGTGTCTGTGTGGGTGCAAACTGTTGAAATCTTTACTTAGTATAGAGTTGATTTTCTGTATATAAAGATAATTAAAAATGAAAAAATGAATCTTAATGAAGAATGGGACAAGAGAGGGAGTAGGAGGTGGGATGGTTTGGAGATTGGAGGACAGATATGTGGGGAAGAACCACTATAATCCAAAAGTAGTTGTACTTATGAAAATTATATTTATTAATAAAAAGCTTTCTATAAAAAATTAATACATCCTATGCAGAAGACTCCGAATCAGACGATTTAAAGATAACCTACATAATGGAAAGCAACATGTGTATACCACATGTCTAATATGGGTTTATATCTAGAGTCTATTTTTAAAAATCTCAAAACTAGTTTTAAAGAAATATGCTGGGGAAGAAGAGGTAGTAGTGTTTAGGACAGAGGTTAAGGGGAGTTAAGAACTTGGAACACCCACATCCCTTATCAGAAGGCCTGGGTTTGAGTACAGCTTCCTGCTAATAAACACCCAGGAAGGTAGTAAGGAGTTCAACCACTTGGGTCCTTGATACCCACTTGTGAAACTTGGATTGAGTTCCTTGCCCCTGACTTCAGCCTGGCCCAATTCCCACTGTGGTGGACATTTTGGGGAAAGAACAAATAAATAGGATCAGTCTCTCTTTCTCTCTGTGTGTGTACCTTTGCCTATAAAATTAATAAAAATAAATAAAGAATAATTGCTATTTAATTTTGAATAAAAATTTCTT